GGCCGCAGGGTGCTGTGCTCGCTGACAGGCCACGCAAGACACTCGGAGTCGAGCGAGGTGGGAAAGGGGGTCTGGAGACGTGACCTTGCGTTAGTCTTTGACACTGGAGACAGCGGCACGGAACCAGACTGACAAGGACCTGACACAACCAACAGCTGTTTCCCATCGTCTGCCCAGCTGCACCCAGCCCCAATCTCCTGCGCCCCTGACCTGATCCCAAAGAAGCCCTTAAATGCTCCCCAAACTCTGGCACGGGCGTGACTTCTCTGACCCTGAACATTGGGAACCCTGAACAAGCCGGCAGCGCCCCAATAGAGGCTTATTTTCCTTTCCCTGAGCCTTCCACGCACACCCCAGGGCCGCCTGGGGGAGGTCAGCTGATAACAGGCCGTCATGGGGCCTGGACGCTCGGAGCTGAAGGCAGGGCCTGGCCCTGATCCCAGCTCCACTGTGGGGCTTGTGGCCAAGGAGCTCAACCCCTCTGAGCTTGGGGTTTCCCATCTGTAAAATGGCAACGCTCATGCCGTGCCTTAGGGTCATCGTGTGAAAGAGAGTGGCCAGTGGGAGCGGTCACCTTCCTTAAAGGGGACGGAACCCCACCTTCTGCCTCCTGGGGGCTGTGATGATGGTGGTCTGGTCTCCTTCAAGAGGAAAAAGGTCAATGCCTGAGCTTCCCTTCTCCTGTTGTATCAGTCACCCTTGACCCTGGCCAGGGGAAGACCCCCCACCCCCTGGACCCCTCGGACGCACCGGCACTGATGGTGGGGAAGCTCCTCATGTCACGGAGCAGTCTGCTGACCACAGGGCTGGACCGGGAGTACAGTCCATGGCGGTTGATCCCCAGGTGAAACTGGAACCAGCTGGCCTCCAGCTGGAGCTGCAGCGGGGTGTCCAGGGAGGTGATGTTCAGCTGCTCCTTGTACATCTTGTGTCGTCTGAAAGAGCCAGAGAAGCAGAAATGCAAAGACCAGCTGACACGCTTTGCCCTCTCCACTCACTCTGTCACTCATTTGTAGGGGAGTGAAGTCACCACTACGCATCAGGCTTAGTGAGCACGTCGGCTGCCTTGGACGGCCAACCGGCCACACGGTCCTTCTTCCCGCAGGAGATTACAATCTAGTGATCCAGACAGGTACCTGGGGACACCGAGCTGTCCAAGACAGACACTCAGCTTCAGGCCACGGCAAAGCCTCGATGGACAAAGGCAGAGGGTTAAGAGCAGACTGGGGGCCTCATCCCAGCTGGATCTTGGGGGTGATGCTGGGCGGCGAGGTGCATTCACCACTAAACTGCATCTTTCCCCCAATATTTTCTGACTTGAGGCAGGAGATAAGAGAAAATAATGGTGAGAATGAAAATGGAGAATAAGGGCCCTCCCTGGTGACGCAACGGGTTAGGACGCAGCACTGCAAACTGGCTGCAGCCGCTTCAGTGTGAGTGCGATCCCCACCCCGGAAGTGACCCACACGGCGCAGCAGACCTCTCTCGACCCGCCCGCGGTTCCCCTCAGCAGTGTACTTCGTCGATCTGCCTGTTCTGCTCCCTGCTTCGTCTCTGGGGAATCCTCTCACCCCCCACCTCTGGCCTGCACCCCTGTTCTTGTGTGCATAAATAAATCAATCTTAAAAAAATAAATTAAGGCCCTCCCTGGTGGCGCAGCGGGCTAAAGCACAGCACTGAGAATCTAAAGCCGCTTCTGCATGAGTTCGATTCCCGCCTGCCCTGGAGGAGATCCACATGGCCCGGCAGACCTCTCCTGACCCGCCCGCTGCTCCCCTCAGCAGTGTACTTCGTCGATCTGCCTGTTCCGCTCCCCACTCTGCCTCTGGTGAAGCCTCTCACCGCCCCTGAGCCTCTGGCCTGTACCCCAGCTCTGTATGCACAAATAAATAAATCTTTAAAAAAAAAAAATTAAAGGTCTAGAATTAAGCCTGCAACAAGAAAACATATAAAAGAAAACATTCACAATATGTTTCATGACATCAAGGTGATAAAGATGTTTTTGGAGATTTGACCCCGATAGCAAGGGAAATAAAAAGTAAAACAAACAAGTGGGATTACTTGATAAAAGTAATAAAGGTAAAAGTTATAGAGATAAAAGTTATCAAGCTTTTACAAAATAAACAAAAAAAAAAGAAAATAAAAAAACAACCTACTGAATGGGAGGAAGTAGCCATACATAGAACTGATAAGGGGTTAATATCTTGGATATTAAAAAAAGTATCTAATTTATCAATGATAACCCAATTAATTAATGGGCAGCAGATATAAACAGACAATGTCTGAAAGAGAATGTCCAGGAACTCAACAGACACATGAAACACAATGTTCATCACCACTTTCAGTTAGGGAGATGTAGGTGAAGCCCACAACAAGACATCACCCCAGACCATTAGAAAGCCCCCCTAAAACAAGTGCTGAGAGGATGCAGGTAAAGGGGAACCCTATTACACTCTCATTGGGGATGTAAACAGATGGAGCCATTATGGAGAGCGATCTATAGTAAACCTATAGACATTTACCTCGAAAAACAAAACTACAAATACCCAAAATACAAATGCCAGCAATCTTACTTCGGACATTTACTCAGAGAACACGAAACTTCGGCTCAAAAATGATAAGCTCTGCAGTGTTTCTTGCAGCTGGGTCAGGGAAGTAATCAAGTCAGCACTGACAGACTGAGTGAAGGTGTGGTCTCCCACACAATGACATACTTACTACTTAGCCACAAAAGACGAAACATTGCCATTTAGAGCAGGACGGAAAGAAGGTGAGGGAATTGATGTGCACAGTAAAGCAAGTCAGAAAGACTAAGGCAAATATGGGATATTTATACTGCAGACAATTCGACAAAGCAAAATACTAATAAAAACTAGTGAGCTCCAATAAACAGTGGAATTCCAAGGTTAAGAGGGAGGGAGAATGGAGAGAAGGTTGAAGGGGCATGAGATGGTGGGGCGGGGAGAGAAAAAGTTACAAATAATGCCATGGTAACGGAGAGCTTTCAAGTCTAGTTTGGGAGACGAAGCACATCTATAAAATAAGCACAGTCCGCCCCCTCCCTGGTGGCACAACCACAAGCTAGCCAGAGCCGCCTCAGCGAGCTCTACTCCCCCCCCCCAGGTGACCACGTGGCGCAGCAGACCCCTCGTGACCCGCCCGCTGCTCCCCTCCCCTCGTCCATCTGCCTGTTCTGCGCCCCACTCTGTCTCTGGTGAATCTTCTCACTGCCCCTGCACCTCTGACTTGTACCCCATTTCTGTATGCACAAATAATAATCTTAAAAAAAAAAACAAACCCAGTCCAGCATAAAGCAAGGGAGGTCTACTGCTAGCCGTGTCGTTTAGGTAAAAACACCTTCACCTGTTGGAGAAAGAAAGCTGCTGTGATGAAGCAGCCCAAGGAAGCCGTAATGGGTGGGGTCGGATGAAGGGGTATGTGGAGGTGCTCCTGGGCGCTCGCAGAGGCAGGGCACATCTGGAAATGGGAGAGCAAGGTCGAATGAACACAGGACTGCGTGAAAAGCTGGCGGCTCTCCGTGGGAAAGCCAGGTCACCTGGCGAGGTGACCGACTGTCACTGTTGAGGGCTGGGGTGTTCCCCTACATGTGAACTTCTCCATGTGTGAGTCCCTTGGGGGCTGGTAGGGGTGGAATCGCAAAACAAGGGTGGCTGAGCTTCTTGGAGCGTCAAAAACTTGCATTGCTAAGTAGTTAAAAAATAATGCTTTTCGGTTAAAATGTAGCCACATTGTGAAGAAAGCGACATACATGATCATTTTAACGCTAAACCTGTTTAGCAGCTAGCTAGCTGATGGTTATTCCTGCGCTGCCCCCTAGAGGAAGAACTTTTTTTTCCTTCACGGTCTTGCATTTATTCATACAGAAGAGTAAGAATTGGTACAAATAATAACCATCGCTTTAAACACACACAAACAGCTTTGGTTTCTAAAGGAAACAACTCCATGTAATTCAAAGTTAAGTAGAGGAAGATCTTGCTGGGACAGAGTCCAGCCCTTGCCGTGAACAGAACACACGCTGCCTGTCATCCCAACGTTTGCGAGGCTAGGGAGAGATCTGAAAGGAAACTTCACCCAAACGGCTGCTCTCCTCAAAAGTCTCCTATTCCTACTTGACCGGCTCTAAAGAAGGGGACGCGATGGCCCTCCCTGGTGGCGCAGTGGGTTAAGGCGCAGTACTGAGAAGTTTAAGCCGCTTCCGCATGAGTTCGATCCTCGCCTGCCCGGGAGGTGACCCACAGGGCGCGGCAGACCTCTCCTGACCCGCCCGCTGCTCCCCTCAGCAGTGTACTTGTCAGTCAGCCTGTTCTGCTCCTTGCTCTGTCTCTGGTGGCTCCTCCCACCCTCCACATCTCTGGCCTGTACCCCAGTTCTGTATAAATAAATAAATAAATCTTAAAAAAAAAAAAAGGGGACGCGCCCTGTCCAGAATACTCACTCAACCCGTCAGCTCAGCTCTGTGAGAAAGCACTTCCCCCAAATAAGCAAAATGCTTTTCCACCACGAGTCTTGGTTTACCCCCTGGATAGACACACAACCTGTTCCTGGTTCCCCTGAGAATTTTCAAAATCCTTTGACGATGGTGGTCCAGTTTTCCATCTTCGGGTTAAGTGTTTGTCTTCTCCTCACTGCTGGTCCTTCGCCAGGGCCATGAAGCCCTGGTCTTGGTTATGTGGATCCATTTCCCTCTTATTTCCAACACCCAGAATGAACAGCAGCTCCCCCACCCCCCAGAACTGCCTAGGACAGAACAGAGTAGGACCACCAATGTCCCCACTCAGGATGTTTTCCTGCTGTTTATGCAGCCAAAGAAGCATTTTTTTTGGAAAGCGCGGCACACGTCTGTGAGAACACAGGAGAGATTTTTATGGCGGCAGACTTCTAAAATTGGTCATCGAGCTTCAGCCTCATCTCTGGAAACTGAAAATACGATCAGCGGCCTCTCCAGCGACTCTGCTGTGTCACAGGCACAGCTGGCCTGAGGTGGGGACGTCAGCCAGGCAGGATTCTCTCTCCCACTGGTAGCAGAAGGCAGCCAGCACATTAGAAGGATTTTTTTTTAGAAGGCTTTTTAAAAAATTATTTTTGCATAGAAGACTGGGGTGCAGGCCAGAGATGCCAGGGGTGAGAGGATTCACAGAGGCAGAGCGGGGTTCTTATTGAAATCCACTGCTGAGGGGAGCAGCTGGGAGACAGGAGAGGTCTGCTGCGCCCTGTGGGTCACTCCCTGGCCGGGGATCGACCTCATGCTGCAGGGGTAGCGATAGCTTCACAGCGCTGAGACTTAACCCCTGTTAAATTAAGGAGGCCCTTAGGGTGTATTTTTTTTTTAAAGATTTATTTATTTGTACATACAGAACTGGGGTACAGGCCAGAGGCGCAGGGGTGGTGAGAGGCTTCACCAGAGACAGAGTGGGGAGCAGAACAGGCAGATCAAGGAAGTACACTGCTGAGGGGAGCAGCGGGCGGGTCAGGAGAGATCTGCCGCGCCGTGTGGTCACCTCCAGGGCAGGCGGGGATCAAACTCATGCGGAAGCAGCTTTAGCTTCTCAGTGCTGTGCTTTAACCCGCTGCGCCACCAGGGAGGGCCAAGGTGTATTTTTTACAAATAAAAATATGTGCTTGAAGTAAGAGCATCTTTCTGTTTAGCTTCTCGGTAATAGTATTTCATATTTAAAAGAAAAGGACAGCCGCACACAGTCAGTTCTGAGGAAGCAGGTGTCCAGGGAGACAAGGCAAGCCAGAGGGACACCAGGATGCTGGGACTTTGGTCCCCAAGAACAGTAGACAGCAGAGGGCTGGGGCGTCTCTCCCGAGAGCACAGGCACTGGGCTAGCTTCCAGCCTGCGTGGGGAGGCTCTGAGCCCTGAGCATGATTATTTAAAATGACAGAGGTTAAACCGCTTCAGACCCTGAG